AATGCAGCGTGGAGTTTAGACTTCGATTAAAAACTGTAAACATCGAATCATGCTCATACTGTTAAAACAGCATGTTGTAAATGATTGATAGAAATTATGCATTTCTAAAGACACCATCTTTAGAACATACTTTGTCCCACTCAAATGAGTTTGTTGATGGCTTATAGACCAAGTCTTCTCCATAATACAATAAAGCCAAACTTGAATAGGGAAGTAATCCTTTTATGTGATAGTAACTATTCTGAAGGAGAGATTGAGAGTTTTAATGTGTATAAAATTGACAGTTGTCTGTATATTTATAAGCCCTTGCAAATCTCTTCTATTGAAAAGACATAATCCTTTGTTATTATTACTATCAAACAATTAAACACGCCCTTTAGTTTTAAGATTGTTTTGGATATGACTTATAAGTTAGCGTTTTTATTTATTACGAAAAAACATGTAGAAAAATAGAGAGATGATGTGACCCAAACCAATACTTAATACATATACCTCTTCACCATCTAGAGTGTTGATCATCCAAAACATATGGGACACCCTTAGGCTTGGTCTCATATATAAAGCCATACAAGTTCTGCTACTTTTCAAATCTAGGACAATTATACGATAAAAAACATGAAACATAGTTACAAAACACATTTAGAACTAGTTGATCCATCTTGATTCTTGTTTTCAAATTCCCCATCTGGTATCCGTGACACCGTGTAACTACATTTCTTATACTATTCCTTGGTAAAATATGTTGCTAACTTTGAATTCATTGTCAAGAAGAATAAACTCACAGAAATAATGAGACCCATTGGCACTGAAATTAACAGAACACTGAAAAATGAACACAGACAAGCCAAGAAATCCAGCTTATCAACTTTTGTAAAAATTTATGTATTATTGATTGATGTTTATTGATATCAATTACAATGATTCATGATTCCTATATATAGAAGAGGGTGAGTGTGTAGTAGGTAAGGAGTAGGTGAAGTGGAGGTGGTAGTGGTGTAGTGGGTTAGGTTTAGTGGAGTAGGTTTAAGTGGGTGAAGTAGGTGGAGAGTAGGTGGATTTTAACAACTTTCCACAATCGAAATGCAGCCTGGAAATCAATTAGTCCGATCACAGCAGCTATGATCATTGCTGCTAATACAACATTCAGAGTCCAATAAAATAGTGGAACAAGAAATGACACAGTGATTGGCACGGATGCTGCCATTATAATGTTTGATACTGTTGTTTGTGCTCCAGCATTGTAGTTGACGGAAGACGAAGTGAATGAACCTAAAACAATTATTATGGGGTGACACAAAGTGTTAATTTGGTGAGGTACTTAAAAAAATGCTGTGTTCTATAGAACAAGTCACATATAGCCTTACCTGTGGTAACAAAACAAGAAAAGAAAGAACCAACCATGTTCATGAGGCCAATTGCCATCATCTCTTTGTTTCCATCAATATGGTAGTTTTGTAGCGATGCAAATGTCCTTCCCACAGTAATTCCATCCTTTAAATATATATATATATATATATATATTTTATATATAAAAATGAAGAAAATTACTCAAATATTTTAGACTATAATAATGGCCAACAGGTTAGGTCAACTGTGATTTTTTTAGGTAATTAACTTACAGTGAGTGATAAGATTCCAGTAGTAATGCCTGTTTTTATGGCGAGAGATAAATAAGGGCATTGGAATATTAATTTAAGTGGGTTGGGCCCTTGATGTAATTTCCCAACCTGTTAAAAAAATGTATCAAGGCTGTAAGTCCTGTTTGGCTCATATTTCTTAGAAGTACTTGCTGGATTTTGAAAAAAAAAAAAAAATACAGTATTTTCAAAATTCTAGCCAAATGGTGCTTGCAGCATAATTGGAATATCACTTCAATTTTTAATGAAAAAAAAGAAAAAAGAAAAAGAGTTCATCTTGCTCAAGTTAAAACTAAAGGGAAAATCAGATCATACAATTGATATCTCTTGAACTTTAGGCTTGACAATGCAAACAGCCAGTGTTGAGACAATAACAGAAGTTAGTGGGGCAGCGGAATAAATCTTCAGGATCTCTTTCTCTTTTTCTTCTCTTCTTCTTCGTTTTCTTTTTTGTTTTCTTTTTCTTTCTTTTTGGGGTTGTTTTCTTTTTGAAAGGGAGGGGGGGGGGGGGGGGCGCGGAGATTTATAGTGCAAGCCAAGCTAACTTCATTTCTGTGCAAAAAAATAAAAATAAGTTACATAAATTCATTTGAAGTACTTCTTGTGCTTTTCAGATGAATGTTTGTTCTGGTTTTGTGCTCAAAATTAATCAAGTTATTTCTGTATTACTAAATAGAATGATATTTAGACACTTATATTTGCCTTGCTTTCAGTAGAAAGATCAAGAAACTGAAGCCCATAAGCATGGTTCTCCACGACCATTACAATTAGCTCTGCAGAGCTCTCTCTCTCTCTCTCTAAGAAAAATGTTTAGGACCCTCGTAAAGGAGGATCCGTACGACCCCCACTGATATATTGATTATTGATGTGTTTGAATTTTTTTTTAAAGTTGTCTCTAACAGTGACATGAATGGTTCAAATCATTTTAGGAATTGTGGGGGTTGTGTTTTGTGTGGGGGTCTCTATCATTACTGCACACTAAAACATGTTTGTCAGAATGAAGATGATTGGTAGTTCGAATTTGAGTTTACTCGAAAGACGTAACTCAGATGACCGGTGCAACACTTGTTTATCACGGTTGTTATCCTTGTCGACTGCGACTATCACCTTCTTGCTAGATGACCAGAAAGCCAAAATTAGGGCCATTTGGACAAGTCAAAATTCGGGTGATGTAGCATTGCTCATGCTAGGAGATGGTATTGTTTCTTAGGTACCTCATTGATACGTTAAAAAGGAGTTGTTAACACAGTAATAATTTTTGGAAAAAGGTTGGACTCCTTTTTTTAGAAATTGTATTGTGATTGTTTAACTTTTTGTTTTGTTTTGTTTTTTTCCCTCTATCTCTGGCTAACATGTGTCTTTGGGGGTTGTGAGAGTCAAAAAAAAAAAAAAAAGGTCCGTATCATTTTTGATAATTTTTGTCTTATTGGTGAAATGAGTAATCCCAAACAGTCCTTTTAGCTGCTGCGTGGCTATAATGGTTGCTGCACCTGATGTAAACCCAAAGAAAGTGGCCTTGGATGGAAAATCAATCATGAAGATTATGAAGCCTAACCTGTAATTATCCAAATTATACCAAGCAAGTTCTGAAGCTAAACAAAACTTGTTTGTATATTCTATGTAGCCACTTTCTGTGGAAGAAGAGAGTAGAAATTAATTTACAAGTTACAAATCCTTTCAGTAACACTTAATAATTGGATAAATTACAAACACACCCTTGAGGTTTACTTAAATTACAAATTACTACCTGTAGTTTTAGAAATTATATTATGCCTCCTAAAGTTTTTAATTTCATAACAAATAGGTCTTTTTATTAATAAATTATCAAGTTAATTAACAGCTTTTAATAATGTTAAAATTTTATTTCAATTAATAATTCAAATAATTTTATTATTGTATAGGTAGAAGAAAGAAAAAAAAAAATCAAAAAAACCCCCAAAACGACGTCGTTTTGGGGGGCTGCTGGGACGGCCGCCGAGAAGGGTGGCCGAGAATCCGGACTCCTATAATGGTTGCTCCACCTGATGTAAACCCAAAGAAAGTGGCCTTGGATGGAAAATCAATCATGAAGATTATGACGCCTAACCTGTAATTATCCAAATTATACCAAGCAAGTTCTGAAGCTAAACAAAACTTGTTTGTATATTCTGCCTCCGTTTGGGAAGTGGGTTGGCTTTTTGGCTATTTTAGCCTGAGCTTAAAAGCTTGGTTTGGGAAGGGCTTTTTGGCTATTTTAGCCTGAGCTTAAAAGCTTGGTTTGGGAAGGGCTTTTTGGCTTTTTGGCTTTTTTGAATTTTTTTGTGAGAGAAAAATGTAATGATTATGGGTTGGATGTGATATTTTGTTTGTTATGGCTAAAATAGCCTATTTTGTTTTTTGTGGCTAAAATAACCAAAAAACCTGCAAACTCACTTGCCAAACACAGGCTCTATGTAGCCACTTTATGTGGAAGAAGAGAGTAGAAATTAATTTACAAGTTACAAATCCTTTTAGTAACACTTAATAATTGGATAAATTATAAGCACACCCCTTGAGGTTTACTTAAATTACAAATTACGACCTATAGTTTTAGAAATTATATTATGCATCCTAAAGTTTCTAATTTCATAACAGTTTCTAATTTCATAACAAATAGGTCTTTTTATTATCAAGTTAATTAACAGCTTTTAATAATGTTAAAATTTTATTTCAATTAATAATTCAAATAATTTTATTATTGTATAGGTAGACAGTTAAAAATTTTACTTTTTCAATTAATTCTGTCAAATAAAAAATTTTGACAGGAAGATATTTGTAATTTTCTAAACCACACGGAGCAATTTGTATTTTAAGTAAATCTTAAGGGGTGTATTTGTAATTTACCAATAATTTAATGATTTATGTGTGCATAGTTTGTATATACAAATTTTAAATTTTAAGTTTTGTCAATTTAAACTCTAAACATTTGATTTATTTTCAATTTAAACCATTTATTTATTTTCGTTAAGTAAAACTGATAGGAAAAAATATATTTTAGTTATTAAACTCAATGAAAAATAATATTTTCGACATTTTGGTAAATTTATATTGAGTTTAATGATTAAAATATGTTTTTATATTAGTTTTACTTAACAAAAATAAACTGGTGGTTAATATTGAAAATAAATTAAAAGATTACGATTTAAATTGATAAAATTAAAAGGTCAATGTTTATTTTATTACAAATGTCAAATTTTGGAGTTTTTTTTTTTATTATAATTTTCCAAATATTTTGTTCTTTTATAGGTAAATTATGTATTGTTGTCTTAGCCATTTAAATTTTGAAATGTGCTTTTTAATCTAGTTCGGACTCCCCATAAAACAATTTATCCCGTGGCAACTGACTTAAGGTGAATTAGGAATTGGCGATAGGAACTCCCGAGATGCATCAGAATTTTCAGGTGCAAAAAAATAATTTCAAAATCTCTTGTTAGAAGGGATTGCCATTAGGCATTTCCAAAAAAAAAAAAAAAAACCAATTCTGTTACTAAAAATTTCTCTTAAAACAGAAGCAAAAATGGAAAATCCTCACATTAGAATCAAAACTAACTCAAAGCAGACGGCGAATGAATGGAAGTGCCAACCCTTTCTTGTTTTTCATTCCATTGTCGCGTTGAAGATCTTGTGTCAACATTTTCATGGCTGAGCCTTCCACAGTGATGATATGTCGGCAACAGCTTCACCAACTGTCAGATAAAGTCCATTCGCCCCAAAGGACTCCAAGATGTTCGACTGATGTAGCTTTTCCATCACATTCCCCACAGGATTTGCCAACACAAACTATATAATATGATTAAAAAAAATCAAAATTTTAGCAAGATTTTACAAAATTATCGCTAAAAATAATTGAAATTGATTGTGTGACGTGCTTGCCTGAAGTGATCTTTTCTCAAGCATTTTTCTAAGCTCGCATATCGTGTCAATCCCACTTGTGTCTATGGCTGTGACAGCTGCAAAGAAAAAAAAAATTCACTAGTTTAGCCAAATTTTATTTAAAAAGTCCATATCTTGAGGCTGCCCAGCTCATAAACTCTTCGACTACTGATTTAGAAAAAAATTAAAATGGAGCGGTAGAATAATTACATGACAAAGTAATGGTTTGTGAGTTTTTGTGATGCACTTACCGGTCATATCCAAAATGACACATTTCATTGAACTTTCGTTAGTATTTGATTCTATTCGCTCTTCTTCCTCGCAAATCCATCTTAGTATTCTGCAATAAGATGTTAAAATTCATGGTGAATTGTAATGTTTGTTCCATATCTTGTATTTAATGAAGGCCTAGCAAAGAATGTAAAGATTACTTACCTTTCTTGGAGGTATGTGGAATTGGCAAAGAAGAATGGAGACTCAACCGCGAGTATGAGGAATGAGGGGATTCTTAAAGCTTCTCTGTATCTGATAAGATTTTGGTATATTTGTGTCCCCGGAATGTTTCCTAAAACCATAGTGTTTGGCCTCGTAACATGCAAGAGAATCTTGAAAACTGAAACCCCAACCTGAATTTGCAGTGAAAAAATGAGTTACTCATCATACATATAATCATGTATTTTTAAATCATATATACGACCGTGCATTTGGAAAGAAAAACGTACAGCAATTGCAAGGCCTAAGGGCACTGAAATGAAGAGAACACCGAGAAAAGAGCTCAAGCAAGCCAAGAAATCGAGCTTGTCAACTTTCCACAAGCGAAATGCAGACTGATAATCGATTAGCCCAATCACAGCGGTTATGATGATCGCGCCTAGAATGACATTAGGAGTGTAATGAAACAATGGCATGAGAAACAACAGAGTCACAAGCACGGTCGATGCCATTATCACGTTTGAAAGTGCTGTTTGCGCTCCAGCGTTGTAGTTTACAGCAGAACGCGAAAATGATCCTATAAAATTAGTTTTAAAAAAGTGATTAAAACCAATTTACTGGAATTTATATATATATATTGATTGATGTGTTAAATTAGAGTATGCCAAATTATGGGGAGATCATCACCGGTTGTGACAAAACAGGAAGAGCAAGAACCGGCCATGTTCATGAGACCGATAGCCATCATTTCTTTGTTACCATCCACTTGATAGTTTTTTAAAGAGGCAAATGTCCTTCCCACTGCAATTCCTTCCTGCAAAATAAGAAAAATGCTTCATCTAATAAAAATGGTGACTCAATGCACGAGCCTTCTGCTAAAGCAGTGTCTGGAGAGGGAATTTGCCTATTTTCCATGTTTTAAGTTAGACAAAGTTATGAATGACTTACTGTGAGAGATAGTATTCCAGTTACAATGCCAGTTTTGATTGCAACCCCCAAGTAAGGGCCGTGAAAATATAGCATGTTTGATGAAGGTGGATTCAGACCCTTCGGTAAGTGCCCAATCTGTACATCAAAATTCAAGTGTGAAAAACACAGCAGGGAGATAATTTTCAAGGGATCACCATTAAATTATAATCTATGAAGCATGGCTACTGACATGACAAAAAGATATGGGTATACATTGAAATTTTTGTAATAATTTTTAGTATTGTATCATACATAAGCACAAAAAATAATTTCTTTAGGAGTTAAGTATTAGTTGAGGAACCAATAATTAAGGTTTTTTTTGTTTTGTTTGTTTGTTGTTGTGTTTTTTTTTTTTTTTTTGCTCTTGCTGGTCCTATAAATTTTTTTATTTAATTATCAAGTCTAAACAGTTTATAATACCCTTATGCTTTTCTTTTCACATTTACAAAATTTATAGGCAAAAATTTTATATGCAAGTTTAGTATCCGATATAGGTATGATACAAATACAACTATCCGTGCTTCACAGATTATAAGGGGAAAGAAATAAATAGCTCAAATAACCACATCTTACAATTGAAATTCCCTGAGTTTTGGATTGGAGGAGGAACACAATGAGGGTAGAGAGAAGAACTGATGTTAATGGGGCAGCGGCTGATATCCAAAAAAGCTTTGGTTTCTTCATACTCTGTTTCAGTTTAATTAAAAAAACAGAACTTTACGAAGTAAGATCCAGTTGGTTAATAAGTAAAGAAATGAGAAATTAATTTTGGGGGGTTTTGTAGAGGCACTTACAATCTTCCTTGTTGTCAACAGAAACATTAGAAAAATGGTGCCCAATACAATAGTTTGCCAAGACCACTGCACAATTTATGCTCCTACTTAGGTAGGGAAAATTAGTAAATTATTTCTATTTTGGTTGGTAATTTCTGATACCTTTTTTTTTTTTTTTTTAATTTCATCGACTCCTTGAAAAAACCATCTAATTAACTGAATTAACCCTTCTTTTTTTAACCAGTTTATAAGTTGATTTTTTCATTCGTGACATTCATTTTAAAATTATGTCACTTTTTTAAAAAAAAAAAAAAAATTGCTTTTAAACTTTTAAGATTCATCTTGACTGGACGACTTTTAAAATAAAATGAAAAAATAAAAAACAATTCACTAAATACAAAAATAATTCAAATTTTGACAAGAGAGAGCATATAAAAATTGGTTTTTTTTTTTTCACTGTAGTTTTTTCTTTTTTTTTTTCTTTCTATTTTTTGGATTTCATAGTTTAGTAGAAATTGTCACATTGGTATGGAAGACCACGTGGTGCCTCAAATCGAATGTGATTGGTGGAGAGAGTGAGGTCTATTGATTTCTATTGGTGATGGGGAAACATCAAGAGGGCATGGCAATTGATGATTGGTTGATAATTTTCCTTAGTGCAAAAATTGTTTTTGGATCACAACAAAAGCTTTTTGAAACTTGTTACCTCATTTTTGTTCTTGAAAACAGAACACAAAACAGGGACTATTTGCATCTGGGTAGTGAAGTGAACAATCCCAAGCAGCCCTTTCAGTTGTTGCAATGATACAATAACTGCTGCACCAGCCATGAACCCAACAAGAGTCGCTTTCGATAGAAAATCAATAACAAATCCTAACCTGCAATAATCACAAAATCCAAATCAGAATACCCAAAACCAGAGAGAATAATTTTTTTTTTTTTTTTTCCTCTAAAATCTTATCACTCTGTTTGGTAATATACTAGACAAAAAGAAAAAGAAAGTGAGACTTTACCTTAGAAAGCCCAGAGAAGCTTGAAATATGCCAGCAAAGAAAGTAGAAGTAAAAGCCAACTGAAGATAGAGAATTGGTTGTTCAGCATAAGAAACTGTTTCACTAAGCATGGTGCCCATTACCAGAGATGCAATTGAGACTGGACCCACTGCCAGGTGTCTTGAACTCCCAAGGATTGTATATATCAATGGTGGCACAAAGCTTGAGTCTGTAACATTCAAATCCCAATTCAATTTAAAAAAAAAGCAATAAAAAAAAAAATAAAAATAAATAAAGAGATTACTGAACGTAGTAAGAGAAACAGAGTAGTAATGGTGTTGTTGACACTTACAGAGCCCAATTATAGGTGGTAAATTCGCAAGTTTTGCATAACTTATTCCCTGCAGTGTATGAAATCCCACATTAAATCAGTGAAAAGGAATTAGCATTAATTTTTTTTTTTTATACCCTTCAATTTATTTCAAGCAGTACTTCATTTTTCAATGAAATTAGTCATGATCCAAAAGATTTCACAAAACTAGTCTTTTTTTTTCTTTTTCTTTTTTGGCTAGAACAAGTAATCTTGGCAAGACAAACCAATTGAGATGATTCAAAATCGCGTTATCAGGGCACAGTATTGAGTGTATCCGCTAGTACAGATGGCGGTCTTGAAATTTTAAAATTATTAACAACACCCTAAAACTCAATTTTTAATACGTGGGCGTAACCAATTATAACTGCTAAACCGGGCTATAATGGCACCGGTTTTTCAAAAAATTATTACATTTCCCCAATGCACGAGATTCTAACAAAAGCATGGTTTGAAAAATACAAGATATACACCTTAGTCGATTTAAGAAGAGTGTGTTTCTTTCTGTGACTCGAAATCACACCACCAAGACCCGAGAGAGAGAGAGAGAGAGAGAGAGAGAGAGAGTAAAGAGAATTGTGATATCTGACCTGTGGGATAGCAAGGCTAGCAATGGTGAGACCAGAGATGACATCAGACCTGAGAAGGTCAAGACTGTAACTTGATCCCCATTGAAAAACAGGGAAGAAAAACTGAAGACCCAGCACCAATTTCCTCAACCATGTTTGGTTCTTGAACTGGTGAAGCGGGTTGTCAGGGAAGAAGATCTCAGAGAGTCTGTGTCTCAGTTTTTGAAAAGTAGTTTTGTGGGGTGGCAAACAGACTCTGTGCAATTCCAATGGTGGCATTGCCTCTGTAGAAATTGTCACTGTGGTGGTTTCATGGTCTAAAAAGTGTTCCACTCTGTTTGAATTTATACCCATCTCTTCACAACCCACCCAAAATATTCAGAACAGAGAGAGAGAGAGAGAGAGAGAGAGAAAGAGAGAGAGAAGTGTTCAGTTATGTAGGAAGTTGTTGAATTTTGTAGAGGGAAAACAAGGGTTTATATAGAGTTGGGACAAAAAGAATTTGGCCACATATTTGAGGCGCTTGTTTGTTCCATGGAAAATGACAGAAAATGATACTTTACATTTTATTACATTTATTTATTTATTTATTAATTATTATTATTATTATTATTATTATTAATATTTTGTTCTTACAGATAAAAAACAGTGGCATTATCATTATATAAAAGAGTAGTTAGAAATTTTCATTTTTTAAAAATGAAATGATTCATGTAATTTTATCATTGTATAGAATAGTAGTTTAGAAATTTTATTTTTTTAGTTAGTTTTGTTAAATAATTTTTTGTAATTTTTTAAAAGTAACATATATTTTAAACAAATTTCAAAGAATTTATTCATTACATTAAAGTTTTTCTGGTTAAGGCTTGTGTTGTTTATCACAAATTCTACTCTAACAATCTGAAACGTTAATTTTGTAAGACTTTATATTTAGATCATTCATGACAAAAAAATTAAATTGATCTTCTATTTATAACAATATGATTTTGTCTTTTTTTTTTTAATTTTTAAAAAGGACAATTTATTTTTTAAAAATAAATATGATATAATTATGTGTCTGCCATTTTTAGACTAATCTGACCCCTTTTTTTCATAAATGAATAGTCCAACAAAATAAAAAATTTAAATCATTAGAGTGGGATCTATGGTTAACCCCAAGGCGCCACAATTCATTTAGTCCACACAAGTGAAATGGAGAGAATCCTCTCCCATGTTATATACACAGAAAAAAATAAAAAATAAAAAATTCTAGAAATATGCTTGAGATCTGGATGGTGTGCCTGACACTGTAATTTGCATACATTTAAAATTTGCATAATCTTCTTTTTTTCATCTCATTCACATGACATGACAATGGATAAAGAGTACTTTGGATGGTGAAAAATTCTAGAAATATGCTTGAAATCTGGATGGTGTGCCTCACATTGTAATTTGCATACATTTAAAATTTGCACAACCTTCTTTTTTTTTCATCTTCACATGAAATGACAATGGGTAAAGAGTACTTTGGATGGTGAAAATGGACAATGCCATATAAATATGATTCATAATTAACCTTGAAAATATTATGATATTTTAAAATTTTAAATTAAAATATTCATTATTGTAATTCATAATTTAAGAAATACCAGTCACACATTTTAGATAGATTTTTAGATTCTGTTTGTGAATCATTTTTAAAAAAAATTAATTATCATGAAAATGTTATTCTTCCAAAACTTTATATAATTTTTTTCACTAGAATGATATAATAATAATATTTTGTGAATAAATACTTTTTGATGGTTATTTGTTTTAAACTATAGGCCACCACTCAGATTCAATTTTTTGTTTGTTCTATATATACAATTTTTCTTTTGATAACAAAAAACTCGTTGACCCACTTCAAGTCAAACTTAGGGTAAAATTCTGAATACGTGTAATCACATACTAACCTCGTTTTTATATTTGTACAACATCACTCTAAAAAAATGAAAAGAAAAAAAAAAATTGAGTCCAATAATTTAAGTCTTATAATTCACTCAATCATAAAAGATTCAAATACGTGTCAACTTTTGATTTGTTACAATCTCAATTATATAAGTCTCAATTTCCTTACTATATTATTGTGAATGAATTATTAAATTTAAATTGTAAATCTTTAAGATTTTCCTCCAGTACGACAACTACTATAATTTCATATTGACGCTTCTAACGTTTTATTAGTGGAAAAAGAAGACTTGAACCTAAGTTGGCAAAAATTATCATGCATCTATAGCTAGTTTGGATAGCCAGAAAAAAATAAATAATAAATAAAAATCTAAACATCTAGGCTTCACCAAGATATTATATATAAGATTTGCAAATGCCTAAGTGGTAGATCATTTGAATACTTTTTGCAAGTTGGGGTAACCTTGTGTATCTCCAATACCTACAATTTGTCATTATGGAGATGAATCAAAGTAGATTTCTTATTAATTTTTAGGCGACAAAGCTTACAAGATTTTTGCGTGATAAAGCATACTAGATTTTTTCCTTGTCATTCCCTATTCGATTAGACCAAGTAAGTCAATTTTATTATTATTTTATTTTTTTTCTAAATGCAAATAACAAGTATTTTTTTAGAAGTATCGAAACATTTGTTTCCATTACGCTATTTGTTTTACTAAATAAGAGTTTAGATGGCTTTTTGGCCAGCGAGTTGAGTTTTGAACATTATTTTGAGCTTATTAAGCATATATGCAAATGTTTTAAATCCACATAAAATTATTTGGAAAAAAAACAGAAGGTATTGTGAATAGAACCAGTGGGGTTAACTTGTTAACCAATAGAGCTCTTACATCTTACTAGACGTTCAAGAGTTTGATTATCTCATTTGAGGTGTATTCTCCTTGTATTTGTTTTGAGTCTCTCTGTTCCACTTTAAAATTTTATATGTAATTGTGATTTATTTTTTATAAATATTACTAATTCATTATACTTATAACGTGATGCATTGAAGAAAAGAAAAAAAAAAGAGTTTTGAATAGCATCAATGTTTGAAGTTGACCACATTAAAAAAGGGGTGGAAAGAAGATTTGGGAATTAAATGACATAAATAAATTTTCTACATGGGAAGATTACAAAAGGGCTCAAATGATGTGCGTTGGGATTTCAAACGATAATTGTAAACTAGATCCATAAATGTTTTCCAATTGAAATCTAGAACCCCCATGGAAAAGATTTTACTTCTTTTTTTTTTTTTCAAGACTTAATAGTACCAGGTGTAAGAATCAGTTTACACGTACTTGGCAGGCCAACTCGCATGAAAAATATTTTACTTCTTTTCTTTTTTAGGATTTAACGAAAACAGGTGTAAGAATCAGCTTACACATACTTGGCAAGCCATCTACGCCGGGTTTAGGGAATTCACAAGAAATGGACAAGCCCTCCCAAGAGTTGAACCATGAACAATTGTGTGGGTGACATAGCGTTGGAGCACATAGACATGTAAAATAAAAAGTAGGGTTGGAGTACATAGAAGAAAAAATAGTTAGGTAAAATAAAGTGTATAATTTTTTCATACTTCAACTAGTGAAAAATAAATAGTAGCATTTTTAATAACTAATCCATTGAAGTGATTAAAATATGATAATACTAATTATAACGACTAACAGACATCTTTTAAGATATTTTAAGAGCAACTTCAACTATACTATTTATAATTTGTACTGGCTAAAATTCAAGAAACAAAATATATATATATATATACACTTTATTTTATCTAATTAGTTTTTTTCTCTAATAATATTTTTTATTTTATTTATTCATTCACACAAACTATATAAAGAGGCTTTCATGGCTCTTCAAATATATCTAGGGGGAAGAAAAATATTAAAATAACTATGACAACAGCTAAACTATTGAAGGAAGTAAAATAGATCTGACTAACATATCTCTTAAAAAGCCCATTAACGATACTGTTTAAAACACAGAATATCACATATTTGTCTCAAATTATATGAAAATTTATCTCCATTCAGTAGAGCCATACTTTGACCCTCAAGTGGAGAACCAACAACGGTCAAAAATTTTCCAACTGTTGGAACAATAGCATATGACACGAGAGTCTCTCTAGGCATCTCCCATATATATATATATATATATTTGCATATAAAAAGAAAAGTAGTAATATTCAAATTTAAAAATTAAATTTATTTATTAAATTCAATGATTAATCAATCAATCACTCTTATGTGTTATCTATCTCTTTCATAACTTTTTTAATTATTAATTAATTATATTACTTATCTATCATTGAATTTAAAATATGAGCATAGAAAATAAACTTGTATATTATTTTTTTATAAAAGAATATTAAAATAAATAAATAAAGAAGAGACAATGACGTACATATTCCAATATATATATGCGGCGAGAGGTTGATGGTTTTGGTTGCTACGCACCCTTCTTTACTATATTTGGATTTTTACAAGAAAAATAAATAAATAAATAAAAGGCTAAACAGTCTCCAGCAATTTACATGATGATACGTACTACCCACAATGGATGGAGCATATTTCATTACATTTTTATGACTATGTTTGGTGTTTAAAAAAAAAAAAAAAACCCACTAAGGACTCTGTCAACTTTTTCAGTAACAAAACGACAATTTTTTTTAAAGCATTGATAGAGACCCCTCCAATCATCACCCCACCATCCCACACACATGTGGTGGGTGGTGATTGGAGGACAAGGAAAAGAAAAAAAATAGAAAAGAAAAACTGGCCAATGAGAGGGAAAGGGGGTCAAAGGGGGTGGGAGGGAAAGGAGGTCTTAAACATTTTTGTTTTTTTTTAGCATTTACCAAGTACATCACCTTTTTTAATGACTTTCTTATGAAAAAGAAATACCAAACCAGCTTAGGAGGAATTTTTTTGTTTTTCAAGAATTTAATGTTGGTTGTGTGATTAACTAATAGCATATGGTTAAATGTCTAGTCCAATCTGATATTTTTAGAACTTGGGAAAAATATTTAGTCCATAAAGTTAGGTTGGACAAAACTTTTGAGCTCATTTAATTTTTGGATTAGATTGGAGATAAAGAATTTTAGCCTAGCCTGATCTGGCCCGCCTATTTAGAAAATATCAATTTTAAAATTTATATTATTTAGTTACAAAATAAATTAAAAAAATAATAAAAGATAAAGAAACATACATATATATTTATTTATGTAGCTTAAACTAATGCACTTCTTAAAAGATTATATTTATTTTATAATTAAGTTTTATTAATATTTTAAATTTAAATAATCATTAACGTGGTTTAAATAATGTAATAACCCTTCAAGATGGGGAAAAAAAAATCATATCTATTAGGTCAAGTGGACGGATTTATAATTTAGACATTCTTTTAGGAGCGGGACTAGGATAACATATATAAGAAAATGATGGACAAATTATAGAATATCATTG